GGGGCTGGGCTTGGCTGCCGGGTGCGAGTTAACCGCCTGGAGTTACAGCTTCAGGCACCTCTGTGTTGCCCTGCGGGTTGGAAAGCTGAGTACGAGCTTTAGATGGGTTAGAGGTTTTGTTCTGTTTTCATTTTTAATGAGAAATAGTTTGAAGATAAGCGTTATTTTAAACGTTAATCTTCATATCAGATTTTCTTAAATTAATGCATGGAAGAAAGAAAGGCATTTGGGTACTTCACATTCATAAACCTGAACACTACCAGCTTGTTTTTCTTAAACCCTAACCATAGCGTTTGTTCCACTTTAAAATGTGGACTGTTTTGCGTGGAAGCACGGTTTAAAGACTGTTTGCAGAATACAGCCCCTCTGTGATCAGCACTGGCATTCAGGGAGACATTTTTAGCATCTATGATTTTATTTGTGGCACACAGTTGATATTGTTGGATTATTAAATTCATGACACGGGCATATTGCTGTGTATAAAAATACAGAGTGGCACCTTCAGCACAAAGATTTACTTTGCAACATACAAATCCAAATTTTCAGTAATAAAAATATACCCTTTTCGAGAGCTGTTGATTTCTTTGTATTAAGTAACTTCTCACAAACATAGGAAGCTTGGAGGGGTATAAAAGACCATCTGGACCAACAGTAAATACAGTGTTATAATTACATACAATTGTCTTTGTTACTCATGTAAAAATCTTATCATTATCAGATCACTTAATATTTCACATTTTTCTCTCTCTTATTTTGCAGTGATGGACTGAAGCTTGAAACTGAAGTGCTGGATGGAAAGCCTAGACTAATTTTAGCTGCTTCTGGTATTTTTTTAATCACTTTATCTCGAGTAATCTTTAAAGTGTCTTGAAATTAAATCTAAGATCCAAGCAACATGAAGCACAGCTTTATTGACATTTTTCAGATTAGGAAGAATATATGTGCATTGCTAGTTACAAGTCCTCTTGCTCACCAGCTTGATACTGAACAGTAGGTTGAGGATGACCTTCTGTATACTCTCTCCACTGGTGAACAGCTGGCAGATAGTCTTAACTCTTTACAGCTTGTCTCTCCATTCGTAAAAAGTTAAGTACTGTTACATATTGACTGGCATAACTTGGTAATTTCTGTAACTATAGCACCTTACTTACCAAGGAAAAAGAGGCCTAATAACTCTGCTTCATTTACACAGAATTACATAATTACAGTCACATTTCTGACTTTAAAGCAGCCTTGGTATTTGGCAGTTGGTGTTTATAGTTTCTAATAAGCAGTTTATTTAGGCCATCTCTCATTACTGCCACCTGATATAGACTTTTCCAGTATGTGCTCATGATAAAGCATTAATAAATTCTATTTTTGTGATTTGTCAGGTGTATGTTTCTATACAAGCACAAGTTCACTTTCTCTGCCTGCTCTACATAGAAATTGGGATACAGAAATACTCTGTTTAATGCCCCCTAAGTTATATTTTTTGCATTTACCAGACAGGTGTGTAATGAGGCACTGTGGGGTATTCTGAGTCACTCAGGAATTCCAGTGTACTGGGAATGTTGCAACGCCTCAAAGAGCAATGCTACAAATCATCTTCAGCATCATTGGTTGGATAGGGCTGTAAGATAAAGCATTGCCTCTGACTTTGAACTAGCCTTAAACAAGCTTAAAATGTTTATACAACTGATATAAACAGCATTTCCTTGAGTTGAATTGTATAAAACAATTGCATCACATTACTTTTGAATTTAATTTTTTTCTGCACTGTCAAATATTGCTCATAGTCTTAGGGGCTAAAGTAGGGTTATTCTGCATAGCTTAAGGTGCTACTCGTTGTTTCTCTGTTAAACATGAAAAAACCCCTACAACAACCACCAAATAAAAAACCAAGAAAATAACCCTCAAGCAGCACTTTGGAGTTCCACGTTATACATCTCCCCACTGTGATGGCAAAGATCCTGTGTATGTTTCTTTCTCCTCTCCATGGAGAAGTTAGGCTTGCATAGCACGTTGAATCCCACTGTTTAGTTTCGGAATAGTCAGAAAGAAGCAAACAGTGACTTTTGCCTACTCTGGTAAGGGCTGAATGCTTGAGAACCCAGTGATAAACATGGCCACAGAACTCTATTAATGGTGTGGGTTTTCAGACTTTAAGAAGTTAGTGTTTTCCAGTGCCTTTAATAGGTAATGCAAAAAAAAAAAAAAAAGTTATAGGTGCTATTACTGCAAAATGTGCAACAGCCACTGCCAGAGGAATAACTGCATAGTGCAGCTGAAGAGGCCTTGTTTCCAACAGATGTGTTCCACTAACATATCACCCCTGCTATTTTCTCACCCTTTTCCATTAGCCATATGTGCATAATTTCTTGAGTACCACATTCTGTCTATGAGTCAATATTATAATCTTTATTAATAAGTATATAAAACATAGTTCTTAATATTATTTTTGAGACCACTACACATACATGCATCCTCTAAGATTTGGGTTGAAAGACTGAAGTGTATTTCAGGGCATGCTTAAGGGGAACAATAATGGATAGAGTGATAATAAGAGGATTGTTTCTTTAGGCTCTCAGTGATGGAGACAGATAACATCACGTAATACGATGGGGTTGGGTGCGGGGATGATGTGACACAGAAAGCAACTGAAAAATCACAGTTAAAAATAAGCCATTACCACAGGGCCCTCTGAGGAACAGTCAATAGCAGGGGAGGATCAGACTGACACAGTAATTTATTATATCTATATAAAACTGAAAACAGTTCCTGGAATATATCTTTTTTTTCCCAGCGTACTTTTGAAATGTGTATTCGGGAAAAAAAAAGGTAAAATGATACAACGGAGGCAGATGTTACAGGGAAAGTACTCCCTCCCCCCCCTTACAAAAATCAGATTAATGTAATGGTTTACTAATTATCAAGATTTTTTTTCAGAAGGAAGTTGTTCTTAACCACTTCTTTCATATGTTTGTTTCCCAAAAGATAAATCAAAGCCTGCAGTGAAGGTAAGTGGAAAAATTCTTTGGCTAAAGCATACAAATTAACTAGTCAATTTGTTAACACAGAAATTTGAGAACACGTTTGAACTGTCTAAATGCTTGTGATCAATGATATTTATGATAGATAAATATGTACTTACGGGGCCCTTCCAACTTGATATATTCTGTGATTTTTCAGGTTCTTAATAGCTGTTAGAAAGGATTAATTAAAAGTTCTGTGACTACTTTTATTTTTGCAGAATGTTTTAGCTTACTTGGCCAAGAAGTTACAGCAGCACAGGGAATCATGTAAATCAGAACTTCCAGACACCTTAAAGGGATTCTAGTAAAATAGGGATCTGAAGCGCATTTAAGTTCCAGTTTAGTCACATAGGTTGAATCTGTTTGTGTAAACTGGAATGCAGTGGGTTGGGCAGGGAAAGAAAGCAGAAAAAGGTCTCGATACATATGAGATAATTAGAAGTGTACATCAAGAACCTTGAAAAGGATAAAACTTCAGTACAGAATAGAAGAATCAACATTGAAATAATTGAAATAATACTGTCTGAATGGTGGAAGCATACGTGTTTGGAGGCAGGTTTCAGAAACACCAAAGAAAAGGAAAATTAATGTCTGTTAATTATTTTAAATGTTACACTATGTAAAGATATTCATCATACTGTCAATTTTAAATGTTCAATTTTAGGTGCTGTATTCTCTTATACCCATGAAGATGTTTCATTAGTTTATACTTAATTTCTATTGATGTAACAGAGAAAAAAAATGACATTTACTTGACTTGTTGCTTCAATCTTGTTTGCATTTGTTACCCATGCAATTTTTTCAGCTTTATTTCCTTATTTAATTTATGGCCAAATCTTATTGTTTTAACAGGTGGGTAACAAAGCCAGAGCATCTAAACAGGCATTGAGAATGAGGCACACTGCACATGTACTGAGGTCAACACAAAATGCTTGTATCAAGCAGGAAAACTTAACAAAACCAAGGAGTGAATCAAGCTTATCAATGACAAAAGGTGAAAAACTGCCAGTTACTAAACACTCCTCACATGAAGCTGCAACTAAAGATCACTCTTTGATTTTCCAAAGAGGTATCACAAACAGATATCCTGATTCAGAGAATCCTAATATTCTTAAAAAAGGCAAACAGAAACCTCAAAACCCATGTGTATCAACTGAAGACCTAAGAAGTTTGGTGTGTTTAACACAAGAACAGCTTCAGCAGATTTTGATGACTGTAAAAGAAGGAACTGGAAGCATCTCTGAGAGTAATAATGAGAAGCAAGAGGAAATGGGTAAGATACCAACACTTAAGTTAGTTTCATGGAAACAGAGCATAATATGAAAGTTTAGGGCTGCACAGATGTTACTTGTATGTTTAATCAGACAAAATACTGTTTGCTATTATGGGTGTGAAATTTCCTGTTACTGTTAGGAACCAAGCATTTGATAATTTTAACAATAAAAACTAAGGATTGCTTGATTATGTATTTTGTCGAAGAGCAAAAGAGCAAGCAATTCTGTCAATATTTCATGCAAAAAAGTAACCATTTTACATTGGGAAAAAAGAACGTAGTACAACTGCACTGTACTGTTACCATTAGGAGTTTGTGTTGAGTTCCATTAGGGAAAACAACACAAACCAAAACGAAAAATACCCACTAAACCACCCACTACCTCAAAAAGATAGACCCTTCTGGTTTTGCGAAGAGTTCAGGTCTTGCTGTATGTCTCAAGAGTGTCTCAAGCAGCAGTGCCTTTGTCCTCTGGCCCAAAGATTTATCTTTTTGCCTGTTGAATAGTTGTGGGTTTTTTTCCAATTCTTCTACTTAGAAGTGTAAGAACTGTTGCATATCTTCTTGTTTGTGGACCAGTGGGGGTGGTCAGCCTTTTGCCAGAAGACACACTGTAATTGAGTAGAGCTCCAAAGGCCAAGCTTTTAGCCAAGAATAAGTTCCTGTAAGGCTAGCATCCTAAAAATACCCTGTGAAGTTGTAACTTAATGTGCCTTAAAATTACAAGCAGGCCTAGAACAGTTGTGTTAAATAGTGGAGAATTTGTAAGTTTCTCCTGTTTTTGACTTATTTACGCAATGTTGAAGAAAGGTCAATGGTCATATTTATGTATATGTTTTAATATATTAATATTCTACCACAGCTACTAATGAGGCATCAGAGGAAAACATTGTGACATTGCTCCAAAAAGCTTGTGAGGTTTCATCTGTTCCAGATGAAGCCAACTCCGATTCAAGCAGGAAAAAAGAGGCAGATCCACAACCAGGACAGAAAGTTATGTATGTAGATATGCATTACTGACTACAAAACATGTGTCTTTGATAGACTGGTACTGTAGTTCTTAATCACTGTAAGAAACTTCATAAATACTGATTTAAAAGTTACCTTTAAACTTAACAGATTCGCTTTTGAGGTAAAATCTTTTTTCCCCCTCCTTTTCTCTAGAAAGGCTTCGTGGAAACCTTCTGACATGTTTACTACCTTGGGTGAAAGAGAAAGGGAGAAAGCCTTGTTAGAATTTAGGAAGACCCAATGGAAGAAGGAATTAGGTATTTACACAGAATATATTTCTGGTCAATTTATTACATTCAGGATGCCAAGAAACTTGCATTCCTTATGCTCTTTTAAATTTACTTATGTTAGTGCAGTTGCTACAATTGGAAAGTACTTAGTTCTATTAGTTTCCAAGACAGATTAAGTTTCTTGAATTTCATAATGTTATGCAAATATTATCTATGAATTCTTGCAGAAATGCTTCTTAACCAAATATATTCAGTTATGCTTATTATTTTAGGAGTTACTTGCCACTGATTTTGTTATATTCAGCCAGTAGTTGATAGCCATTATTCTTAACAAATTCATTTGGCTTTTAGTGGGAAAAGCATCATTCTAATCTACAAGCGTGACTGAATATATCAAATTGCAGTTTGAACATGAAACAGTTTTCAGTCCTGCCTCATCACCAACCAAAGGGAATCTCTGTAGAAAAAGGAAAACACTGAACACAGTAGTAAATTCTCTTTGACAAATGAAGCTGTTTATGATTCACATGCAGGAGTGTCGTATTTTGAATTCAACTTGGGTATAGACCATCTGGTTTCAGGGTTTGATTCTGCATAGTCAGTAGCGTTCATGTATAGCTCCATTGGTCTTAATAATATTACACTAGTCCAAGACTAGTACAATAAAATTGAGGGAATTTACATTTTGGTTATTTGTTAGTTTTTCCTTTTTCAGGAAAACTTCAGATTATTGTAGTCTTCCCAGAGAGATTCCCCAGTTACCTCTGTATCTTTGGGCAGAGACTTAGCTGCAAAGTCATGTGTAGGCTGATTGGAGACTTACTCCTCTGTCCATTCCATTTTACAATCACAATACAGACATGCACTGCTGGCTCTTCTCTCTTTTTTTTAAGAAACTGTTAATGTCTGTGTCAGGAACCCTTACCAGAGTTTGGTTTTTTGAAGATGAACAGGTGGCACTGAAGAAGAAACTGAAAGAAGGCTTGGAAGAAGTGGGTAATTTCTGGGCAAAACCTGACAATAATAAAATCCATAAAGAGAAAGTGGAACCAGCTGACCCAGATAAGGTAAGGCTATCAGTAAACACAAAAGAACACAGAGTTTCCACACAGCACTGTTCCAGAACAGGTCAACTTTTAATTCATACAAGATTTTCTTCTCTGTATGAATCCAGTAGAATCCAGTCTCAGTGGTTACTTTAAACTCTTCTGTGGCACGAATTCCTACAACTCCATGTTTCACATTAATCCAGCTTGTAGCTTCACAAATTAAGGTATTTGTAGCATGAACAACCCAGTTGTATCCTTCCAGGTTGATTCCTAACTGAACAGTGTACATCTTTTCTAGTTTTGTTTTCAGGAACAGTTTCAAAGGTAATTCCTGGTTATGTATTTATTTATATTGTTCATGAGCTCTCACATATATTTGGTTGCTTAAATGAGTATAGCAGCTTGAATTCTACTCTAACTTGCCTTTTAAAAAGTCAGCTGTCACTCTGAGAATTCTGTGTCAAATAAATATATTGTACTCAGATGAGACTTCTCCAGTGAAACTGATTGCCATTAAACAGAAGTTAGGGTTCTACCTGCTGTCAGATTTTATAGCAAAAGCAATTGCTTTTCTTTTGTGGCATACTCAGCATTCTTATAAAAGTTAGTGCTCTGCCCCATAAGAATTGGGTTTAGTCTACATAATTAAGAAATACTGGATATGAGATGCTTAGTTACAAGTTTTGGCTAAAGTTTTAATGAATAGTAACTTCTAGAAGTATAATTTACTTGTTTGTTATATGTTAAAGGCTATTTAATACAAAGAAAACAGGTGACCTGAGTAAGTCTTAAAGTAGTCACTTTATCTGCAGACAGTGTTTACAGCTGACTCAGTTTTTACCACTGAGGAAAATTTTGTCCATACTACTAAAGTTCCACTGACTATTTCAATTGCTCCAGCTGGGCAGTCTTCTGATCATGGTTCTTCTGACTTACCAGCTGTCAGTTGTGTACAGCATTTGTTTTCAGGATAAGATTTTAAATTGCATGCAGGTGTCTTTTTACTTAATGACAACAGATGTGTCTTCAGTAGATGTGAGTTCTTCAGTACAAACCAGAAGAATTCAGTGGATCTCTTTGCTCTGTCGAAAGAATTGTGTTTGAATGAATGCTTATCAAAATATTGATGCTCCAGAGTTTGCATTTTCAAGGCTGATGTGAGGAACAGTAATAGAGGTGTGAGATTAAGTGTTAATTAGCTTTTAAGTGTGCATTAAAGAAATAGAGAAATGGAACCTATCGGAAATAGAAGACTAAAATATACTGATGACAGAAGATTCAAGAAACAGTTTTTGAGTTATTGCTAGTAGTCACTGATTAAAGAGTGGTTTTTGTTAGATAGCACTGAAAATTTTTAGTGCCAATCAAGTTTGTTAAATAACAGAGATAGCCACTAATAAGGAGAAAAGAATGAAGATGGTATCTAGAATTTACTCATGACAGATCCCTGCTGATTAGATCATGGTGGTGAATCTACTTGGAACACAGACTGAGTAGTGAACCACAGGAAGAAGGAAAGGATTTTTATTCATGATATATAGAATTAAGGTTTTTTAAGAGTGAGAGGCTGATGGATCAAGTTAGAATAGTACTCAAAGACTGGCTTATTTAGTATCTTTCTAACAGCTGAAACATTTTTATGGAGCAGTCAGACACTTGCTACAGGTACAAACTTCCATTCATTTTTCTTTTTTTTTTTTTTTTTTGTGCAAGAGAACAGCCCAGTTATGCCTAGCAATTGAGGGCAAAGATTTCTGCCAAGTCTTTATTATATGGCTAGATAAGGTACTGAATCTTTTGTACAAGGAAGAGACTAGGCTATCACTTATCTTATTTCAGGAAGCTGTGCCACAGGAACGACCTTGTAGTGCTTTGAAGCATGAGCAACAGAAGAAGTGGCTTGAAGAGCTGGACAAACAGAAGGAAGAAGCTAAGCTACGAAAAATAGAAGAAAAACTTGATTTATCACAGGTATCTGTGGTTTAGAGGGACTTTTTGGATTAAGAGAAGCTTTTCTCCACATTCTTGTTCTAAGAAATAAAATATGACATTATAGATTTAATGGCGTAGCAGAAAAGATCTAATTACCTGCAGCATGTCCAGGTTTTCACTGCAGCTCCGTAAGACAGTCTAATTGAATGTTCAGCCAGTAGCTGTTCAGGTATTTCAGTGGCAGAGAACAGGCTACCATGTGTCTCGTGTGATGCATCGCAGTGCTTGCTGCAGAGACGAAGGCAGTGATACTACTAGACTTTTTTTTCTTTCCCACCATTGAGCAAAAGCTCTGGGATTTGGAAGGTGCTGTAGAGACAATTGCCACATGCTGCGTGAAAGGAATTTTTTTGTAAATTACGGAAGAAGATGAGAAAAGAGAAGTTACAGACAACTACAGTGTGTCACAGTGGTGCTCAAATCCTGTCTCTAGAGGTAGTATTTTAATACACATACACTCTTATGAAACCTTTTTAAATGCTTCTCCAAAAAGTATTGAAGAAAGTAGCCTTACCTTTTTAACCCTTTGGTTTTTCCAGGCAGTTAAATGTAGGTCTCTTATGCTGGATCTAGAAAGAAACAGTGGCAAATATAATTACTTTGCAGGTAGAATACCTGAAGGCGCTTTTAATACTGTCACTGTTGGACAATTTGGTCAATATAGCTTTTGCTCCTGGAGGTTTTTTGTATAGAAACTGATTTTTTTTCCTTTATATGTTCCTATTTCTACTAGGAGTAGTTTCAAAGTAAGTGTAATACTTTGCATTCTTACACAGGCTGATACTGACACACTCTGCCAAAGACTTTGTCTTTTGAAGTGAAGAAACATGCAGTGAGATTGTACTAGTGCTAGAATCCACATTTCCGAATTACTGTACACAGCTTTAACCCCAGGATTGTATCTTTCACCATGCAGGAGATACAGAATATCTCATGATGTGAATACATTATTAGTGAACAAGAGTCTTGGTTACCAAAACTTGATTGATACAAATGCTCATAGCCTGCGGCCTTCCAAATGAAAAGGCTACAGATTTTATTCTCAAATGAAGCATTTACAGCAATTACACATTCCTAGAGAACTTCCTCACTAATTCCACAGATTGTAATACTACATGAGCTTTCCTACTTACCCTTCAAAAAAAACCCGTGTTGTCAAGGCAGGTTACGTATCTACGTACAAGTCTCTTCATTTCCTGAATTGTGGAAGGGATCACATTTCCTTTGTAAATTGAGTTTGTTTAAACTATAAAAGGAACACAGCTGTGAAAGGTTCCTTCATTAGCTGCCTTGGTTTTTAATTTGATAGGAGTGCTGGGGGAAAATGGTTGCAGTCACCAGTGAGTAACCTAATGGCAGTCTTCCTTCCAGCCTGGTTTTGAAAGGAAGTTAACATGTTTTTTCAACATGTTTTGGTTTTAGGTCTTGTGTTACACTCTCAACCCTTCTGCATACTGCACCACGGATGTGCATAAGAATAAAGTAAATTTTCCCACCACTCCGATCTGCTTAAACACTACAGAGTATTCAAAGGGAACAAAACTCAGGAAACAGGGGGAAGAATAATTTGGATTCTTACTGTATGGACTGTGATTTTCTTGCTTTTTTTAAAATAGGTGTGAAGCTTTTCTGACACAAGGGAATTTTTGTTTAAGGCCTCACAGGAAGTTTATTATATCAGACTAAATTATTTTTTAACCTGCAGAATGCAAGTTTTGAGGCAGCCATTCTCTAGTCCCTCCAGGGAAACTTCTTTTAGTCAAGAGAAAACAGTACCTATAGCAAAACCAAAGACCCTTAGGTAAAAATCTTTTACTAGTGATATATTAGAATGTTCTAGTGGCCAACACTGAACCAAATAAGTAAGTAAGTCTGGGTGGTAGAAAAGGGAGACTTAAACCCGGTATGTCACCTCTACAGAAGTTTTAGGTATATTGCTAGGGTATAGTGGTAGCTGCTGTGGGTGGAAGACATTTTGAAAGAAGGCATATTTTATGATAGGCCCATCTAGCTAAAAATAGGAAGATGGAGATTAATATCTCTGCCCAAAGCACATTAATTCTGCTACTGTCCAGAATTAAAATGGAGGGATAAATGTAGGACAGTGTAAGAGATGCTGCTTGCTCATGTTGCTAGAGAGAGTTATGTACATAACAGGGGGAGAGCATGGCAGGGTGGACAGGGTACTGATCTCTCAATCAAGCAGTTCCCAGTACTATTAGAAAAATCGTGGAATGGAATAGTAATATAAGTTGGAAAAAAACCCCAGAAACAACCCAGTACCAAAAAGCCTGCATCCATGTTAACTTTTTTATTAAAAAATAAATAAATAAATTGTGTGTCCTGAAAACACAGTGGCAATATGGTTTTGAGTCCAAGTATACAGAACAGCAGTGTATTTTCTCATCAGACTTGCATTTTGAGCAACAGAGACACTTCTGTTTTCTCATTCAGGGAATTAACTACTGTCTGTATTGTAGCTCCATAACAGAGCTTTTCAAATGTTCCTGGCCTACAAAAGGTGCATTGTCTGTTTTGTTACCATACTTCATAGAAACAGTGTAATTGAGGGCTTTTCTGTTTCTTTGTTGCTTGGTATTTAGGCTGAAGACCATGACAGATGGGCAGTGCATTTTGATTCTTTAAAGAACCACCTTAATGCTAATGCACAACACCCCTTAAATGGAATGTACAAAAAGCAGCCTGAAAATCTTTGCCTGTCACCTGATCCTAAGGAGCTGACTGCTGTCATTCACCCTTTTTCACCTGCAGCTTCAGACAATCTCATACTCTTAAAAGTGGGAAATGCAGAAAAGGCTGCTAAAAGCAGTGCCTTGGAACACAGTCAGAAAGCCAGGTGAGTGAGCTTGGTCAGGATAATCATCTTCCCAGCCAGAACGTTTCTGATGCCTCCTCAGAAATTAAAAAAAAAATTAATTAAATTCTTTAAATCTGATATTTGGGTCTTACTCATCTGGCTTTTGCTTTTTCCAGAGACACCTGATATGTCACTTTTGGAAAACACAAGTATTTCCATTGTTCAGTAATGAAATTTATTGCAGATAACTGTACTTGGTTCCTTAGTAAACTGAATTTCACAATTGTGAATTAGTGTAATGGGATAACTTCAGTATGAAAATATTACTTGAAAACTAACTGATTCTAGTTAAGAAAGTCGTTACACTTATTTTCTGATGATTGAAAACATTTACATGTTTCTTTGTTCATAGTTTCCTCCGTTCAATGACAGCTCTCCTGGACCCTGCACAGATTGAAGAGAGAGACAGGCGGCGGCAGAAACAGTTAGAACATCAGGTAAACTTTTTTTTAAGGTCTAACACTATTTTAATGAGAAGAAAGGATGAAAGATAGTGTTGTCTCATGAATAAAGCATGAGATTTAATACCAAAATCCAGCAAGGCACTCTTATGCTTCAGATTACATGTTTACAGTTGTTTCATGGTAATACATTCAGTTAGACTCTGCTGGTTTCTTCTATTATTTGTACAGAGATGATGGCATTTCTGTAACTGAATTCTTGCCTCAGAAAAGCTGCAGTGCAGTCTTTAGAGCTCTGGTAGGTTTGTGTGCATTATATCTTTTTTTTTTTCTGATGCTATTAGAAAGCAATAATGGCTCAGGTAGAAGAAAACCGAAAGAAGAAACAACTGGAGGAAGAGCAGAGAAAATGGGAAGAACAAGAGGAAGAACAGCGTTTAGCACGAGAAAAAGAACAAATGCAGAAACAGTTTGAAGAAGATATGCTGAAACAAAAACAAAAGGAGGTGGGGCTTTGCTTTTTCTTTAGTATGGACAGTCTGATAATACTGGGGTTTGAGGAAAATGGTTCTTGTTCTTCACCTTCAAATTTGTGTCACCTCATTTTGAAAATGAAAATTATCAGAAATATTAGACATTTGAAGCCAAAATCTGTTTCCTCAATTAACAACAGCATACAGGTTTAAGGTGAGTTTGTGGGGTTTTTTTTGGACAAGGGTCTTTTCAGGAAGAGAAATACTAAGAACCAGCAAAAATGGAATTGTCACTTTAAATAATACAGAAACATGCATTTTAAAATACAAATTTTAAATAAATAAAAAAACCTCAGAGTATGTGATCCAGTTGTTGTTGTTGGTATCTCAGTGCTTTTAAGATGCTTCAGTACCATGAAGTTTCTCACTGGATGTGCTTTCACTCTGGATTAAAGACATTTCAGAATATATTTTAGAAAAGAAATTTTCCAGAATATATTCATGTTCTAGAGTTTTGTCCTCTAACTATTGCTGAGCTTTACATACTCCTTTCCTATAAAAGTTAAACCAAAAGTTCTAAGCAAATTTTGTGTACATTCTTACCTTAGTAGAAGGTTAAAAGCCTTGTCTGATGCTTTATTCGTCCTTTTGGCACAGTAGCACCTATTACTGTTTGCTTCGTATTTGGAACAGTAGCAGATTCCATGTCGTAAGACGAGGTGATTCCAAAACCACTCCCTTGTCTAAAACCTGCAGAAATACAGAGCAGTGATTTCTCTGAGTTTTTATATGGAAACATGTAGCATCTGCCTTTCGATTCCAGAACAAACTGGAAAAAAATGGGAAAGTCATCTTTCTCTGTAATAGCACAGCTCTTTGAAAACACATTATGCTAACGTGTTCTTTACACCTGCAAATGCAATAGGAAGTGGGGATGAGACAGCTATAGGGGTTTGGATAGGAGATTTCCTTGTCCCAGTCTTCTGCACCTCGAACCTGCTGAGCCTGGAAACTGTCATCCTCATGTTTAGGGCCATTCTGCCTTCTGTGCAAGTAGGAGGAGGGTGGGTTTTAAATTATTTTTATTTACACTTCTTTTATTTGGCACAGTGATCTAGGAGTCCAGAGGTGCCTGAAATCAGGCAGCATTTAGGAAAAGATGAAGTTACTAGAAAGGAGATAAATATCCAAATAACTTTGAGGATTTAGGGGCTCGCTTTTTAGTGCTAGGATTGAACGTCTTTCTTTCGCAAAGCAGAGGTTCTGAGTTTATAGGCACGAAAGTTCTATGTTACATATTGCATCTACTCAACTAGTTTGGTTTTGTTTATTTGTTTGGAAAAAAGCTTTATTCAAAATAAGATATATAAACCTTGAGGATTATATGGGGAGTAAACAATGCTGTGAATTTTATTCTCAAAATAAATGATCACATATTTACCACTTTGTTTTTTAAAGGAACTCGTGACTCTTAAAACAAATGAGCTGTATCAGAAAATGCAGAAAGCTCAAGAATTAGCACAGAGATTAAAACAAGAGCAGCGCATTCAAGACTTGGCTCAGAAGGGACATGACATTTCAAAACTTCAGAAGAATCTTAGTGCTGGCAAGTACAAGTCGTTTCATGTTCAGTTTGCTTGTTCCTTTGCTGTTTGCGTGCAAGTTGTTTGTGGGTTTGCTTATTGTTTTTTTTTTCCCCCTGTCTGCATTTGGGTCAGAAATTGCACCTTTTCTTCGTGAACCATATTTCATTTCAGTTTTCTTACGTTCCAGACAAGTACCAGTGTTAACTGATAGGCAGAACATTGTATTTCAGCAAGAATCAAATGCTGTATTGCATAAAGGAAGAAATATAAAGCTACAACCAGGAATACATAGGGAATATTCAGACCTATCTGCTGCCAATTAGATTTCCAGTGAAAAAGGGACAGTATTAGGATCTGAACCAGAATTCTCAGTCTTCCTTTGAGTTCTAAACCACAGCAGTCTGATAACTTGATAGCATGGTTTAAATGGAACATACATGACTAAACTGAACAATTCTCTTTACTTCTTTTTAGGTGGTACTGAATTTGAAAATTGTAATCCTGGCATTTCACATCAAAGTCATCATTTTTCTGATGACATTAAGAGTCACATTGATCAGCAGGCTTCTCCTCGGAAAGACACTGCTGTACAGACAGGTATGAAGCCTTTAAATTTAATTACTCTGAGGCACCTCAAGACAGACAGTAGAGCACCATATTTGTGAAGCTGAGCCACATCACTGTCATTCAGAACGGAATAAAACTAAAAGAAATACTTGGACAGACGCAGACATGTTGGTATATTACAGTATATCATTGTAGTCTTCTAAATAAATTAAACATCTATAAAGTTGTTACTTACAAGTTACAGAGTTAAGTCATGCAGTCTGAAATACAGTGTAGACTTAGAGTCATGGTCACAAGCCCTGTAGGACTAAACTTATTAAGGCATTTAAACATGGATTTGTAGTCTTCAGTGTGAATGTTCACAGGTTTGGTATGGAGCAGGGCTGGGTTCCTTGTGAATCCTTGAAAATATTGGCAGAAGCATCATCAGTAATTTTGGAGTTACAAAACCATTAGAAAATGAGAGATTATATTCAAATGTTTAGAAAAGCTTTCTACAGTGCTTGCCCTCACAGAATTGCAGGTCTATCCAGGTAGATTACAGTCTTTATTGTGTACCACACCCCTAAAAACCCAGCTCAAACTTAGTCAGCCTATATGAATGTTGTAGGTGAGGTGTGAATAAGCACATTCAGTGCTAACTTACAGTCACTTTACACCTTGTATTTAGAAATGCAAGTTTATCACACAGTTTATACATGTGAACTGAAAGCTTTAGTTCTATTTGCTTAAGCAACAGTATTTTGGGGTTTGACAATGCTGGTAGAAATTTTACTGTGAAGTTGGAGAGTTTACAAATGAAATAATGCTTGTCTGTATGACCCTTAGTAGAGAAAACTGGATCGTTAGTAACTTAACCATGGAACAAACTACTTCCATTAGAAGACAAGGACTGTGAAAGTCAGTTATTCCCAGTAGCACCTTGAATATGGCCAAACCATTGGCATGCTGAAAAACTAACTAGAAGCTGTGCTTGCTCTTTACCTTTGGGTGCAATGACAGAAATAGAATTCTACATTTTAAAAGAATGTAGTTTAACTTTACATAGATTTTGCTTTACACTGACTTTATTCTCCAATTTACTTCCCCCCTCTCCCCTCTCCTGAGTTGGCTTCTACTGGTCCCATCTATCTTCCACATCAAAGAGAATAAAAACCATTATAAAACTGTTAACAACCAATTTTTGAATAAAATCATTAATGATAGATTCATACACATGCAAAAGTCAAACAAATTATTTGCATAGCTTAGACTTGGAGTTAAAATCTAATTTCTTTAATTTTTTTTTTGTAGATTATTTTAATACTTCAGCATTCACTGAGTCAGCTGAGGAGAGAACTGTGTGTTGTGGATCGCCTGATATTTCCATAGAATATAAAGAAACCTTTAACAGCAAAAAATACCAGAAGGAAATGCAGTGTACAGATAAAAATAAAATTTCAGGAAGAGAGACTGGAGGCATTTACAGTGATCTGTATGAACAATATGCAAGAAAAGAAAGACAAATTAAACCTTTGGAAAAACACAACAGAAGACCTGACTGGAACATAAACAAGCCTGGGAAAAGATACATTCCAGCATCAGAAAGATACCCTATACAGCTACAAAAACAAAGGGAAGAAAATAAAGTAAGACGACAAATGGAGCTGCTTCAGTTGGTGGAAAGAAACAACCCATGGAATCTCTGCCCAAAAAAGGGTTGTTATTCAGACAGGTCTCCTTCACCTCATGGAGAAATAAATACAAAGACTAAGGGACACAGAGGCAGAAAGGTAACTATATGGGATTTTACAGCAGTGATGGGTAGTCTTAAGACTCTTGTTTCATATGGTTTTGCCTGGATGGGAATTCAGTTCTGTAACTCAAGCACTGAGAATTTCCTATCACTATCCTTTGTGTGAACAATGGTATTACAGTGTTGTTTCCTTCATCACCATCAGAAGAATGAATTCAGGTTTTGTGACTTTGCTTTTACTGTTATTTTGGTCTTCCAAAGTGTTCATTCTTTCATTTATTCGTTACCAGTAGTTCATTATGTAAACAGGGAGCTTGATTGAAAGCACTGTGCATATAGATAGTTACCTCTTCAAGAGAATTTTTACTTCTGCAAAGAATATGCATTACTGAGGATGTAACTGTTGTCTTAGCTATGCATCCTTCTTAGTGGAGTCATTTCTTACCCAATGGCAGTAAGCACGTTGGTATAGCTTGTGTCTGGGGGGAAACCCCCCACAATTTTCATTTAAAGAAAATATGCTAGAATATATTCATGCCTTTTCTTGCTCTTCCTGCCCCTCACTCGCTCAGTCTCTATATGTATCTATACGTATGTGTGCATAAGCACCTCACTTTCTCACACCTTCCAACAGAAAAAACCTGAGCACTTCAGTTCTATTTAACCATTTGTTTACTGTGGCTACACACATGTATTTTAGAATCCGTATTTAAAAAAACTGTGTGAAGGTCCAGAACTGTTCACATAGATGGCTTTAAAGATCTTTTGATTGTTCAACTGAGTTGGATGGTTTATTTGAGGTTAATGCGTCAATCTAAGTTCTGTGCTTACATGATTGAAAGGTAAATATTCAAGAATTTTGTACCTAAGAAACAAGGCAAGGAATTTTAAGCAGATTTTTATGAATAAGCATTGTCTGATACCGTAAGTAGCATGGGATACATTAATGTATTTCATGTAAATAGATTTCAGTTCTAGACACTCATGTATCTAGAACCGTGACCTTTCCTTTAATTACCATGATCTCGGGCTGAACCTTTCAGGCTTACAAATGCAGAATTGGAGCCAGTCCTTCTGTCATTGGTTTAATTCAGTTCCTGGACACTACGAGTCTCTTTAGTACAAGTCTTTGATAAATACCTTTCTCCTGAACCCAGTCAAACAGTCCTTTTGGAATTTCAGAACAAACTTGTCCTGAAAACTGAAAGCTTTTAATATAGAAGCCATGGAGCTTTTATTTTACTGTTTGCTTTCTTGGTTTTCTCCTAGGAAGAACAATTACATAAGAATCATGTGAATGAAGAAAGGTATGTCAATACCCTGCATCACTTATATGTATAACTGAACTAATGGTGAATTACACAGGCTTTTCTTTCCTGATCTTTACTTTTAATTAAAAAAAAAAATAAATTTAGATGCACCTAATTGTCTACTATTAAAAAACATGCAAGACCAGACAGACCTCAGGTATGAAAGCAGAGTAAAAGAGCAGAAGTCCAGTCCTCTGGTGATTCTCTGTTTCTACCTATTTGAGAACTTTACTCTTATTGTTTGGGGGGGTTTTAACTACAATTGTTTCATACAGGTCTGAATCACCACCTGCTGCAGGAGTTAAGAACAGATTACACCAAGTGCAACAAAACCAGACACATGTTTCTAATTTCTTGGTGAATAACAACAGCAGTAGAAGAGAGAAAAATACCAAGCCAGATCCCCAGCAGAGGAGCTCCCCTCCTCCCATTACAGAAGCTGGAAGACCTCCCTCTTCACAGTTTATCCCATATGTTCGAACAAATGAAGTATATTATCTTGATCCAGATGCTCCAGTGACTAGACCTTCAACACATGACCCACAGTATCGACAGCTCAATGGTACTGAAATGTATTGTGAACCGACTGATGCAGAAGAGAAGCAGTGTCACAGTGATTTAGATCCGAGGGCTGCAGTTTGTTCTGTTTGGTATTTGTTTGTGCTGAATTTTGCAGTAGCCCCTGTGTGTCCCAGCACTGTACAGAAAGCCTGTGCAAGTAGATGATACTCTCTATTTAAAACACAAACACCAGAAAAAGTTACCAAAAAAAAAAAATCAAAAAAGCAACAATATTTCTTGCCCTTAATCTGCCTTTTTTGTCTGTTTACCTTTAATGAGGTGCGATTGCACTTCTCTGGTATGATTGTGTATTGATTTAGGTTTAGGAATCCAAGTGTTGTTTGACTTAAAAATAGGTATTAAAATCTGAGAGCAACCAAAACCTGATTTTCACCAGCTGTGACAATCTACTGCTTCCGAATTAAACAAAAAATGATAAATGTGTTGTTACCTGATTTGATCTACATTTACTTTCAGATTCTTGCCAAACACCACGGCAGATTTTTAGCTCTGATCATGTTAGAGATCCTCTTCTAAATCCTGATGCAGTCAGAGAGAGACAACAAGCAATTCTCAAAGGATTGTCAGAATTACGCCAGGTAAGCAAAAAGTTACTGGATAAATAGTATGTAGCATACAGTAAAGTCAAAATGAATGTTGCAAACTATTACATAGTTAGAAGCATTAGCCTTTAATAACTAATTTCATCATGTATGATTAAGGTTTGGGCCCTGTCCTTTACTTTTGTACCCTCTCACTAATTTTGCTTTTCATGCAATACTTCCACATTTGGAGTGTCATCCAGAGAGACCATGGACTCCTAGTCCTTAGATGAGCTATGAAGCAGGGGAGTATCTGAGAAAACTTGAAGCCAAGAGGAATGGCTTTATTTAGTCTCCAGGTTTTGATCGTTAGGGTTGTTTGCAATAAGAATGTTTCAGTTTCAAGGGGAAAAGAATAATGTTTTAACAAAACACTAGAACTCTTGTTAATGAAATGCCAGTTCTGCGTTTCATGGGTGCGCCAGTCATGGCAGCGCAGGGAGGTGATGCTCCTGGGTCAGTCCTGGAAAAATACTGTAATTAGCAAATTTGAAGTGTAAACACTCAGAAGATCCTTCCAAGATGGTTATTTGTTAACATGTAAAAGTAAAATTCAGGATTTGTCAATCAGCCAGATTTAGCAAGTGAATAAAAAGTGAAGTCTAGTTTAATAATACACACACCCAAGCTCCTGAGAGAAAAGCCTGTGTATGTTTGTATACACTGTTCTATTTGTAGTAAGGTACTGGTAATGATTAGATGTACAGCATTTCCAGAGGGATTTTGGATATGATAAGACTGTCTTTAATAATCTGTGTTGCAGTAGATTAAAAAAGCACAAAAGATGGTAACTGTGAAGTTATGTATTTTCCTGATTGGAGTCAGAATGCCAGGAAAAACACTCAGGCATCTCATTATTAAAACGTGAGTGAATTGGATACTCTACCTGTTGGCAACAAGATGTGGCCCATGGCAGGTCCAAGCCGTGGATCTGGACAATCACTGAACAGTTTCCTTTTATGCATCTAAATGGCCTGACAGGGGCCTGCAAGACAAAACACATTCACTTTTAGTTTTGCATTTTGTTCTTGTGGAACACTAAAGATAAGCATGTTTCAGGATCATCCCTGGTTTTTAAAAGGCTCTGTACTAAAAGTACTTTATTACTAGCAGCACTAGTAAAATCAAAATAAAAAGACAATCTAACAGACTTAAGTGCAACAAAACTACCAGTAGTTTATGCTATTAATTACCTGCTCTGGTTTAGAAAGACAGAAGTTCTGTCACACATACACTGTGCAGCAGGAGTGGATAAATTCCTTGTGCTAACAAAAAGGGTCATGGCTCTTTCCAGGTTTTAAGAGAAGTTGCAACCCAGGCACACTGAAAGGTTGCCAGTTTCTAATGTCTTCCAGATGGGTTTCACTCGGTCTGGTCTTCCCCAATGCTCCTTAGTATTTTTGATAAATATCTGCAACTGTTCAGTATTTTGTATTCAGGCTTCATTTCTCAGTGGTATTTTGGTTAAGAGTGAGGTGAAGCCACCTTCAAAGCACAGTTTGATCCTTGCACTTGCTGAGGTGAGCAAAAGTCATGGACCTTTAAAGAGGTTTAAGGTGATAATATCCACGTTGGCAAACTTATGAGGCAGGCACTTAGGGACATTCTTAATGCACAGTGTACATTCAGGTCTTAACAGTAGCTAAGATTAATCTTTCAGTGGGCCTCGGCTCTGGGAGAGAGTTAACTGAAAACATAGCAAGTTCTTTTTCACATGTCCTACCTGCTGCAGAATGCATGCAGGACTTCATCAGCTGCAGAATGCATGCAGGACTTCATCAGCTGCAGAATGCATGCAGGACTTCATCAGCTGCTGAACTTGGGTGCACACTCCTGCAGATGGCACCTGTTTTGCATCAGTTACTTCACCGAGAAAGGAAGAGTAATGCACTATTTTGTAGGAAATAATTTAAGTAAAGAGCAGAGATTACTTTTCTATTTCAGAAGATAACCCAATTGTGTTTGTTAAATTTATATATGCATGCATATACTGGATTGCTAGTTTCAGAATATATGAATATTCACACCATAGTTGGCCATTCTTTAGCCTAAAAAGTGAATCGTTTGTGAAACAGAAGGGTCAAAGATTAGGCAAAAGGACAAAGCCCCCAGCTACAGTCAGTACATACTGGAGCATCTCAATTTTACTAAGGCAGTGAAACCACTTGTCAGCAGACTGACTACAACTCTGTGATAGACTTTGTTCCACTTTTCAGTGTTACTTGTTTCTCACCTCAGCTGTGGTTGAGTGAGGGCAATTTATTGCATGACTTCATTTTGTAACATGCTGTAACAAGCTAAATGTAAAAAACACTCCGTAACAACAGTGATAATTGACAAAGGGACTGCAGAAGTCACTGACCCATTGCCAGAAATAGTAGATATGGTTGATTAGCTAAAAAGCAGTTCATCAAGTGTCTGAAAATAGGCAGCTGCTTCTTTTGGAAGGATGCCTGTCTGAACACTGTGTCTGAATTGCTGCAGTACCTGCTGCTGGCTTGCACCCTGTAGCCCTTTGCCTTGAGACAGGTCGTGTAACTTGGAGGAAAAATACCTTTGTAACTTTTCCTTTTTTCTAAAAACAAACTGCCTGGGCATCAAATTGCTTCTGATGGGTCTAAAAGAGATAATGTGAGCCCAGTAATTACAGTAAAAAGACTGTGTTTTAAATGTGAACGCACACCTGACGTAGCTGTCTTGTGTATTACTTAAAGGATACACTTCCAGGAACATTTTTTATTACAGGTTTTCTCCAGTGTTAAGTACTTAGGAGAGCCATTAACAAAGCAGGAACCTTTTCAAAGTAAATGTGTGTACCCTAAACTGTCTGACACGGTTCTAGCTCAAATGGCAATGCCAACATTTAGCTTAGAGTGTGATTTATGTTAAGGCTAAAAGCTGGTACCAGAACAGGCTGGAATGCTACAGGTGCAGTGACAGTGCACGGAGGAGTAAGCAAGTTAAGTTTAATACAGTGGAAAAGCCACCCCTGGAAACTGGACTGGCTCCTGCTTCTGTCACACATCAAGTCTTTTGCAGGAGATGGGAAATCTTGAGTTCCCTCTCTACTGAATGTGTTAGGTTGTACTTACTGCTTTTATTTGTCTATTTAAAAAGCATTAAGCTTTCACAAATAGTTTTATCAATATGAAACAGGGACACTTTACTGCTTTGGGCTGCATGAGGAAGACAGAACATTCACATTACTACTCTATTTCAGGGCCTCCTGCAGAAGCAGAAGGAGTTGGAGACTGCTCTGATGCCCGCTATGGCTCAGGAAGAGAACTTTATTTCGCCATTTTGACAGGTACTTACTTAGGAATGTTCTGGATTCCTAAAATGCCAATGCACAGCACTTTGCTACTGTAATTAATTATGAACCATCTTCTCTTCTTTACAAAAGGTTTAAATTAAGTGAATTTTGATAGATTACAGTGTCATGTTGCTTTTCATATTGAAGATACATTAAACGAACGATGGTGTGTCTGTTTGGAATGGTCTTCATGCTGTCTGAAGATACGTGTCCATTTAATATAAGCCACCAAAATGCATATAAAAAAGTTAAATGGGTTTTTTTCAGAATGTGCTGGATGCATTTTGATAAATAAAAATATGAAGCTGTATTCTGAATGGCTTGAGTAGACTGGGTTGGTATTTTGAACTGTTCGAAACAGCTCATACTTAACTATTCTGTCACATTTTAGGCTTAGACAACATTATTAACTCCAGTAATGCCAGGATTTAAGCCCACGGAAGTGCTGACTATAAACTTCCCTCTTCTCAGTTAAACCAGGATAACGGCACTTAACATTGAATGGGCTGGGCCTGAGGCAGTGGAACTCAGTTGAAGGAAGTTTTCTTACAAACAGGGTCTGCAGGGATCAGGATTTAGTGCTTCCAGTGAGAAGTGTTTAGATGAGTTTGCTTTTAGTCTTCACAGGATAACCTGGGGGAAACCTCTCTCTCTTCCAGATCTCTGCAGAAGATGCGTAGCCTGAGATCATGGTAGTGGTTCTGTGACCTAATGTCACAGCCTGAGGCTCCTGTCTGCAGCAGCGGTTGGCACCTCCCAGCAGCGAAGGGAAGAGAGGCTCTCAGGAGTGTGCCCCATCCCGCAGGCGGCCCGGCAGGAGGACAGTGCTTCACAAGAGCATTGGGGACCATGGATACAGGGGAGTTCTTCCTTTGAAAAGAGATGACATATTTGCCATGGTTGGTGGGAGGGTCACAACTGCTCCACCAGCCCAGGGGTGGCTTGTTCTTGATTTAAACAAATAAATCAAACAACTGCTAATAGAAGTAAAGATACTCAACTTTCAGGACAAGTCTATGGGGTTGGTTTTTTAAAAACTACCCTTTTTTAACCAATAGTATTTGTCCCAACTAATGAGTTCACAGTCATGTAGTTTCTATCACTGTCATCTGGTATTAAACCACACATCCTTATAAACACACTAAAATAAATTACAGACAGGAAGAAAAAACAACCAACCAAACCAACCTGTGACTCTGCACAACTTGAAGGCAAGAGCAGTGACTGCAGGAGCAGAGGATGAGTACACACAAAGCCAGTGGTGTCAGAACAAGGGCCCATTTGAGACTCCACATCTACAGCTGCCATTTTCCAGAAGTCAACTTGGAAGATGAGGTATGAAACAAGACAATTGAGAGAGAAACACTGGGAAAAATATGTTGTAACACAGCAGATACGAAATTAAAAAGAATAAGAAACTGATAAAACTCTGTACTTACACCACAATGCCAGTTTAAAGAACAACAAAAACCAAGGAAGGTCCCAGTAATGGTTATGCTGAAGGGGGAGAGAGGATGGAGGTTTCTCCAATGCAAACTGAACTACCACAGTCATTCAGCCAGGTCTGTCCTCTCAGTACAGAAATTACAATGGCAAGATAAAGGTGGTGAGATCACTCTGATGGTGCTGTTGTAAGCACAGAGCAGCCAAAGCAGACATGGGGATAATCACTATTCCTGAAATAAAGTTTAGGTGTGTTTCTCACAGGCTTTGGAATGAATACAAACCCCACAAACAATACAATGTGTTAGCAAGTCCCTTGTGCATTAAGAGTTTATTTTATTTTGTAATGGAACTGCACCATTGGTTACTCTGATTGAGGTATTTAGCCAAGATCCAGCCTCTAGTCATTAAACTACACTGACTTACAGTCATGTAAAAACATTTGTACAAAATTTGTGTCAAATAAATACATAAGTTTTGATATTTATGAAAGAAATGTGATTGGATACTCTTACAGTAAAAAAAACCCCAAAAACAAACCTCGCTGTTTCACATATTTTAGGCAAACATTCAGTTTTACAATTAAACAAACAGACCCTCAAAAACTGAAGCCCAGGTACAGGTCACATACAAATGTCAAAACTTAAAAGTGCCAACAAAGAAGGTAATTCAAGTACAATAATGTTAGAAAATATATATTTATTTCAGTTTTCAGATGCTTCCAACAGGTGCAGGCCCTCAGCCTTTAAATAAGACAAGAAAACATTGGAGATCAAGAACAAGAAACATTTTGTTCCAGAATAAAATAGAAATTGTTACTCCACCATTTTAGAAACAGAAAAGTCCACAGCAACTTATAAAAAGAGACTTGGGAGTTTATTACTGGTTTGAGTATGACCTGGAAGAATCACAACTTGCATCCCAGCCACCTTGCGATGACGACTTTCCTGTATCCACACTTTGGCTGTACGCAGATAGGAAATAGTTGCCCCCTTCTTGGTTTTGATTTGCAGATGAGATAGGGTATGTTCCCAGAAAAGTCTGGTGAGTGAGAACATTAAAGTGGCTGAACTGGTGGGACATGTTTAATTGACTGTTGTAAACTTGGAAGTTACTGAAAGGAGCTTGTTCAGCTGAATTGTGGTTTTCTCCTTCAGTAGAGCATGTTGTAGAAACTGGAGTCATTGGTTGTATCTCTTCCAAGTCAATTTTAGAAGTCTTTTCCAACAGGGCAATAGGTGCTGCAGGAGGTAACTCCGTAACTGTGAAGCTGCTTTCTTTGGAATCTGAGCCCTTGGCCTCTGCCTGTGCAGTTTCCACATGAGCATCACTGCAGATTTCTATTTGTGTTGTCTCATCCCCTGAATCCAGAGACATGTCTTCCTCATCCTTTTCATCGCTTTCTAAAAGAACTACATTAGAAGAAAGAGAAAGTCCTATTCTATTGGAATATGCACTTTTGTTAGAAAAGCTATACACTGCTCACAGTGTTACGCTTCAGGTCTGTAAGTCCAGTATCACTTAAGTCTTGGTCTTCTGCCACTCTTGTTCACTTAATCAACACACACACTTAACCCTCTGTGTGACTGTCCAGTTATTCCGATGCTAAAGCTTCTGCGCATTGTGTTCATGTTTAGTGTTGGGAAATCCCAACTCCCAGCTCCAAGGGGGTTAATGTCAAACCAGCATCTAAAGTTACACAGCAGGTGATTATTTGATCAGTCAAAGGAGTACAGTTACCAACAGCTCAGTTTCAAGTCCACCCCTCTCCGGAGAACAGAGGTTACACCACTCCTACTTTCTGAAGCACCCTGCTAGCCTAGGAGCTGTGTGTAACACCTCCTCTGGTGCTCCAGCCCCGCTGCTTTTCCCCCATCATTCAGAATAGAGAAGGAGTAGCTGTGAGTTGGGGTTTCCTTGCCAGCGGCAGTGTTCATTACGACCGTACAGGCACGCTGTCCCCAGGCCCTCCACCCCACACATCTAACTCAGTAAATAAAGCCTTAGGTGTGTTTCGTACTACCTGATTTGGCTCCGTGAGCGTCGGCAGGAGGAAAGCTGTTCTCAGTGACCGAGTTGTGATACCCAACGAGACTTTTAAAATTGTGCATGAAGTCATCGACAGCAGCAACCACTATTCCATTATCAACATAATTTGAAAGTGGTTTGAGATTCTTTTCTAGATACGTAAAAAGATTTTGTATTAATATTTGGCACCTATTACCATAAAAGGGAGAGAAGCATTCGTTAGTTTTTTTACCTGTTAAGAAGACAACATGTCTCTGCTGTATGTTTTGAGCCTGAAGCCTGATAAGACAATCCAATTCTGGGGCATTTCGGGTCTGAGAATCACAATTATGGTAGGACAAAATCTCAACCAAGTGCTGCTTTTGATAGGTGTTCAGAAGCGTCAGCAGGCTCAGGGCATTGGCATTCATCCTACAATGGGGGAAAAGTGTGCTGTTAGATATTTGATTTAAGCTCAGTCTAAGCATTAAAATCAGGTCAAAAGACAGACTAAGTTCCACTTAACGGGGTTCTGGAAAGCACAGTTAAAGCTGAAGCATTTTAACAACTGGTAGTTGAAGAGCATTACTTACCTCCCCAGCTCTTTAAGTTTCTTTTGTATTTTGCAGTGGACCTTCCACTGCCATTTCCCATCTGGGGTGTTGAGATCCTCCAGAAATTTTAAGAACTGTTTTAGCTTATCTGTTTCAGAGATATTGAATAAAAGTTACATTTTGTGGTATACAAAGCGAACATACTGCTTCAGTGTATACGTAAATCTTGCTGTTTTCAAAGTGTAGTTACACAACTATGAACATTGGCCCAGGACTCTGGGTTTTCTTCCTAGCAGATCAGCCAACAACAGTATCCCAAAACTAGGCTGCTTTTTTTGCAAGTCAGATGCCTAACAGTGGTAATTTGCTATGTAAAAGCTGAATTCAGTCACGCCATCTGCCTTGCTAAAACATCTATTTAAAAAACTGGTAACTCTGTTAAAACTATTCCATTTCAAATAAAAAAGTGGGGAGAAAAAATGTAGGGTTTTGATATTTTTTCCCTAGCAGATTTGTGGAGTGAGTGGTAGGGAATAAAAGGTTCCACATACGTAACTACACCATCTAACACAAACTTAGACAAGATCTTTAAGTCCCCATGTTTCCCAGAAACGTGTTCTCCAAAACATCCACTGAGGTAAGAAAGAGACTGAATTAACTGAAGTTCTCCAACAACCTCACAAAAATTAGAAGACTTGGAAACTAGAAGATGTGCTTTGGCACTGTGGTGAGTGTGGCGCCTCTCGCGTGTATGGAATTGTTGGGCATTTCTGGTCTGTGTTTTAAAGCTTCAGGAAACATCCCACTTACCTGTAGTGATGGACTCCGGATTAAGGACAGATTCGTCTGACACAACAAAGCCACCAGACACAAACAATTCATTGTAAGTGTGATTTTTCACATCATCCAGACTGTCAACACCCGCAAAGCTGACACAGGAAAGCCTCTTCAAAGTTACTAGGCCAGGTATCTGTTTAAAATGTTATG